GACTGCCCAGAGTAAACATTTCTATCAGACTATAAGCTGAGTATTACAACTAATCTATATAAATAAAAGCGAAATACCACTCATGCATCATCACAAAATCTCCAGAACTGTAATGCCTACAAACTTGAAATTGAGCACATATGCTTCTAGGTGCTCACTAAGAAAGGATTTTTCGAAATGACCATCAGAGCATTAGTACTTTGTATGTTACTATTAACACGCTCTGGTGCTAAGGAGTTCTACTCCCCCTCCCCATCTGAAAACAAATCGGTTCCAAATGAAAACACAAGCAGAGGATTTTCAGTTTCAGTTTTAATTTCACAGCACCAAGCAGCTTTAGTACATAACAGTTGAGCGAAGCCACACAGCTTCAGTTTCCAAACAGCCCTCAACTCTTTCACACACTGACAGGATGCTAGCCAGATGAATACCGATGGATGATGGTAGGCAGAGGCACAATTTTTTTCCTTATTTTCCTCCCAAAACACTAAGCCTGATCACATAGTTTCATAGTGAAGCACGGCTATAGAGCTAGTGGGCTATATTTAGCAACTTCTAATTTTTGTACAGTTTCCAAAATTACCAGTAGTCCTTGACTTATTACCATTAGTTTAGTGCCCCTTTGAAATTACATTGGCACTGAAAATGTGACTTATGACCGTTTTTCACACTTACAACTATTGTGGCATGATACCCCCATGGTTGCATGATTAAAATCCAGATACTTGACAACTGACACATATTTAAGATGGTTTCAGTGTCCTGGGGTCATGTGATCACCTTTTGCAATCTTCTGACAAAAAGGCAATGGGGAAGTCAGATTCACTTAACCATGTTACTAACTTAACAACTACAGCGATTTACTTAATAACTGTGGCAAGAAATGTCATACAATGGAGCAAAACTCACTTAACAACTGTCCTGCTTAGCAATGGAAATTTTGGTCTCAATTATGGTCATAAGTCAAGGACTAACTGTACATTACTTCAGTTCCTTGCCAGAAAATTTAAGAATTTCATGACTCGATATGAATCATACATCCCCTGGAAACAAGGAAAATTTCTTCCAGATTGCTTCCAAATAGAATTTCTTGATTGTAGAAACTGAAAAAATGGCCAATCTCTCTTCTGGAAAACAACAACTCTATTCTTGAACATTCTTCACTGATTTTGCTAAGAAATTTATTCAACTGAATTCCTTGGAATCTATTCTTCCTCCCCTCCACCCCCACTTATCATAGCTTACAGAAGTCTGATAACTCTCTATATCTGAAAGCCTAGGAAAGCCAGGGGTATCTTCAAATGGGCCTCACCTGTCAATCTTAATAGATTCATAACAAGAAAGCTGTCCCTTAGATAGTCAGGCCGTAAGCCATTCAAAGTTTTACGAGTCAACACCGCACCTCAAAGCAGCCATTCTCTAGCTTTTCAGCCTAGTTGAAAGCCATACTGAAAAGTATCTAGAAAAGCAGTGTTATTGAGACATGTGCCATCGGGGACCACAATATCACTCTCAGTCACTCCCCCCCAAAAGGAATATTTGAGACTAGCCTATAATTTGGAATAATAAAGGAGCTTTTCTTCAGTAAATGGTCCTATTACTGCCTCTATCAGTAGAAAGTTGATGGAATGTATCCCTCCCCATAAGGAGTCATTAACCGCCTCCCTTAAGCAGACTGCCAAGTCAGTTACACTCTCTATATATAGAAAAATATAATTTTTTCTGTTAAAATATTATAGAACAGATCATGCCTGTTCTTGTCACCAAAATACTTATTGCTATTTCTTATTACTTCATATTATTTCTGGTACATTTTAAATATGCAATATCATATAATCAAATTTACATCTCATTTCAGTAATATGATAGAATAAGCAATATATGGAATAAAGTAAATAGCATTAAGAGCCATGGCTGTTTCTTAATTTTATTTATTTTTGTATGTGGTGCTGGTAACCAAGGCACCTTAAAGGTTAACATATTCTGGCATTTAAACAGGGAAATAAAAGTAAAATGAAATAAAAATAAAAAGCAATGTAAGTTTAATAATGATGCAAAAGTTATTTATTTGTGGTCTTATTAAAAACAGTTTTTGTAACTATTATTATCAAAATATAATTTTCTGGATGTTTGGGAAGTATATTTTGTTTTTGTGGTTGCTGTTGTTTGTTTCTTGGATAACCCTCTTTTACTGATGTGCCAAATGCAACATCCATTTTTTTTTTAAGGTAACAAACTGGCCAAACTGTTACACCTAATTCCAAAGATAGACAACAAAATACAATTGCAGTATGTATGAGTGACAGGAAAAAAAATGCAGAATCTGATATAAACACTAAAACTGCCAGGTGCAAGGAACCAAAACGACATAAGGAGCTGATCAGCATAGTATGTTTATTTAAAGCCTCTATAAACCCCTCTCCTCAGCTCAGCTCCAAATTCCACCACAAAAACACAGTGATAAAAGGTGGCATTAAAAAGAATCCAGTTGGATAAATAGTAAGTAATATTTTTTTTCTGTTTATTATGATGCAAGTGCTTTTTCATTGGAGCTTGCTGTGAGTAAAATCAAATTAAAAATCCACGTGGGGAATTAAATGCTACAACTTCAATAGATTTCATTTTAGTAGGTTTTTTCACTCACGTACACACACACAGATATCCTGGGTAGAATACACACCTGATATATTTGAGAGATATTTTGTCTGACAAAACAAAAGTCACCCATTTTTAAAATTCTCTCCCAGAGTTTGTTCTAGTCAAATCAGTGAGCAATGCCTAAGAATAGTTGCCAGGGCCTCCATGACATTTAGACACTTTTCCACCCCCAAACAAATTATGTTCTATTTTTCTGAACAAATTATGTATTAACAAATAGAAATTAAATCTTCCATTAGTAAGTTCTCTGTAGTCTCTAACCATTTATATTTTACACAAACAATAGAACTAGTCACAGATGTATGGAAAAGAATATTATTCGTGGCCAATGGCCAAGATGGAGAAGACTTAAATCCTCAGATTTGATTTATTGCTCCAGCCAAAATTGTTGGAAGGTCAAAAAGGACAAGTATTTCCAGCGAATGAACTCTTGCATGAGAACATATTCACAGTACAAACCATTGATGGGAACTGTGCACTGAATGTTCATAACTTAAAAGCTTCCTTTTTTTAATTGATGAACCCAATTTAGGGAGATCAACCCTAAATGTAAACAGACATTGGCAGGCATTGGGTATTTTACCAATCCCTGTCTGTTTCACTGTTCAGCTGAGACAGCTGCAGAGTCTAAAAATTAATGGGTACATTTACATTAGGAAAACAACACTGTCCCAACATCCTGACGACTGGCAGGGAAAGTCAGCTTAGCAACAGTTCAGAGTAATGCCAGACTAACCAAATGATGCTATTCAGCTTCCCACAGAAACAAAGTCCCCAATAATGTCAACAAGTACTAAAAATATTACAGCTATCAACCCACACCCCATAAGTTTTCATATGTCAACCTGCAGACAAATTAACTCAGCAAACATGAATAGCAAGATGTTACACTAGATTGCTATTTTTTAATTTAAAAAAAAAAAAGCTGGAGTCAAAGCATTTGGCTCAAAAATAAAAGTCCAAATTTGTAATTATGCAGTTAAGAGTGATGAAAAGACAACAAAAGGCTAATTCTTGTTGTTATAGATTTATAGCTTCAATATCCAGGGTACCAAATTCCATAAAAAAAATCGTGCAATCTTCCCACATAGTTGGTATTGTTAAATTAATACTAATCACTCTTAGGACCTATTGATTTCAAGAGATTAATTGAAGTATATGTTTAAGTGTCTTCTTGGCAGATAACAAGCTTTAATTGGGTGAGTGTCAATCTTCCCTGAGTCTTCACGCTGCCCATTAAGCAGGTCGGCATTTGGGGCTCAGGTCCCCAAACAGCCCTCGGTTTTGGGGAGCTGCTTGAAGTTTTAGAGATTTGGGTTAATGTCAGCATTCCAAGTAAAAATCTTTTCCAGAGAAAAAGATTCCGAGAATTTCTTCTTCCCAAAGATCCATTTTATTAGAGATGTCACTTGGCACATTTGGGGGAAACCCGAATCTGAAAGTTCCAGGTTTTCCCTAACTCAAAGAAAACCCAAAATCCAACCCGTACACCCAATAGTTCATTACATGGTCCAATCATTACTTCATTCCAACTGGAGACTCTCCCCAGTCACTCCCATCCAGGTGCAGAGTAACTTGTCCTTGACTTTCTGAGAAAGGAATGCTGTTGTGGTAAATTTTCCACCACTCCTTGAAATCCTTCTCCCAAATTCCCAGGCACTGAATCCGGCAGCTCAGAAGCCTCAAAGAAAAATGGCTTCCAAGCTGACAGTGGCATCTTGTACTACCTTGCTTAAATTGGTACAAATTGAATCTGTGGTTTTGAAAAAGATGGACTGACATGCTGGTTTGGGGCATTACCTTACATTATATTCATATTTTTCTATTTGATAAAATAGTGGCATTTGATTTTATCAGGCAAGAAACTGCTGTTAAGATGTGACATTATACACACAGCCACAGGTTAATGTAACATTTGCAAATAAACATAAGTCATTGACATTAGGCAAAGGATATCAATTATTTTCTGAGAGACAATAACAAAGAAAATGTGAAGTATACATTTAATGGAACAACCTTCCTTTTAGTCCATTAATTATCCCCAGGTAACCTTCATAAAAACTCTGCAACCAGTAACAAAACTGACAGAATCTAAACACTGGCATAACAGACCTGGCACAAAAATTTTTATTTTTGCAAATTCAGAACTAGAGAAAAGATGGGGAAGTGGGAAAGAACCGATTAAAAAAGAGATGCAAACCTTTTCACTTAGCTGTAGATACCAAGGTAAAGATGTTCAAAAGTTCTGATCATATTTTTTTCTGTTTCCTATAACATATTAGCGTTCCAGAAAAGTCATTGTGGTCTCTTGAGTACAATTACATGTCTTTTTACAACCTCACCTTATTCAGCATTCCACTGTGGTCCAGGAGCCTCAAGCTAATTCCTGCATTTTTTTAAAAAACAACAACATTAATTTGGGTCCCATTTTACCTACAAGGACTAACGTCAGCTCATAGCACAGGCACTGAAGATGCTTGAGATAAATCTAATTGCTAGAAAGGTTCCTCAGCAAGCAGATGCAAAGAGCAATTAATGTTCCTGGTTCAATAATTTGTAATACTTAGTAGTAATGTCTCATTACTGCTTTGGCTATCGCTCATATCAAAGAGTGCTGATAAATGAATCAGCACAATTTTTAAAGAGGAAAAAATACACAAGATGGAAGAAGTGAGAAACATTTCATAGTCCTAGAAAATTTGAAAGGGTAAAATGCAAGATCTATTAGCTTGTTTGAATAAAATGTACGGACGTGGAAAGTAAATGTTAAGTGTTTGTATAGATAGTCCTCGACTTTATGACCACAAATTTTGAGCCCAAAATTTCTGTTGCTAAGTGAAACATATGTTAAGTGATTTTTTTCCCATTTAATGACCTTTCTTGCACAGTTGTTAAGTGAATCACTACAATTGTCAAGTTAGTAACGTGGCTGTTAAGTAAATCTGGCTTCCCCATTGACTTTTCTTGTCAAAAGGTCGCAAAAGAGGATCACATGACTTGGGACCTTGCAACGGTCATAAATATGAGTCAGTTGCCAAGCATCTGAATGTTGATCACGTTACTATCAGGATGCTGCAACAGACGTAAGTATGAAATGCGGTCATGTCACTTTTTTCAGTGCCATTGCAACTTCAGACAGTCTTTAAACAAACTGTTGTAAATAGAGGACTAGGTGTATAAACACAAAAACAGTGTTAGGATTTTTCAGAGCAATGCTTTTCCTATTTATTTCCTCAAGAAAATAGGATCCCTTTTTAAACATTTGACTGGTGGACAAGAAAAGAGGAGATAAAGAGATGGAATATATAAGACAAAAGAGCAGCCATCAAATAGAGAAACTGTGAGAAAGAACAATATCCTCATGGTAGCCAAAAATCATGAAGCTGGCAGCACTTTTTCAAATAAAAATGCATATTAAAAGGCATAAGCTTCTACAACTAGAGCTCACTTCATTAGAAGCATCAAAAGTAGAGGTAGTATTCAGCAGGTTCTGACCAGTTCTGGAGAACCGGTAGCGGAAATTTTGAGTAGTTCAGAGAACCGGCAAAAACCAGCTCTGACTGGAGATTTTACAGTATCCCTCCCCTGCCACGTCCACCAAGCCACGGCCACAGAACCAGTAGTAAAAAAATTTGAATCCCACCACTGATCAAAAGGATGCTCAGAAAAACAGGAAAATGAATAAAATTCTCATGCTTGATTTGCAAAGCAACCTAAGCCTAGATTCTATATCCAGACTGAAATTTTATTATATGTGTACACACACACAGGCATATACACACCGCCTTTATTATTATTTTTATAAACAACTCAAAGCAGGGAACATATCTAATACTTCTTCCTGCTATTCCCCCATAATATAATAACAACCCTGTGAGGTGAGTTGGGCTGATAGAGAGTGAGTGGCCCAAAGTCACCCAGCCTTCATACCTAAGACAGAACTAGAACACAGAAGTGTCCCAGTTTCTAGCCCAATATCTTAACCACTAGACCAGACTGGCTCAGTAAACAAAATATTACAGAAAAACTATTCCAACAGCATTGTAAAACTAATAGATTACTAAGCCACAGGTGAGATTCAGCCGGTTCTCACCGGTTCACCCAACTGTTAGTTAATTGCTTATGCAGTTTGGAGAACAGGCTAAAAATAAAGTGCAAGAGAGGTTTTTCCCTCTCTCCCTTCAGTTAATAGCTCTGAGCAGACAGCCAAGAACCACTTAACTGTTGCAGCTGGAATGCAGCCAATACATGCTGAATCAAGTCAATGAACAACAGAAACTGACAGGATTAGGGCAGTCTCCCATCTAGGGAGTATCAGCTGATCACAGAAGTGTTATTTAATACTCTTTATAATGAAAATGTTTGTGATCTTGTCCTTCTTCCTGAAGAGAAGAAGTTAATCCCATCCCTAGATGTTTCTGGACTCAAATGAATACAGATGGACTCAAATGAATACAGAATATTACCTTACTGCCTGCTAGAAAAACCAGAAGTCAGGTAAGTTTTGAAACTGACTCACTTTTAATGAGTTTGTCAGTTATTTCTGATTTCAGAGTTCTCAGTCGTGAAGGAGAGAAGCCTACTCATTCCCCAGTCATGTTACAAACGTATTAATGCTTATGAAACCCTTCAAAGGTGAAAAGAAATGTCACTGAGTTCCTTCTCTCTAACATAGTCAATTCAGATGTGCAGGTGGGAAGAAACCTCTCTAGCATTTAAAAGGTGAAACAGTCAAATCTACCTACCTGAAATTATGCTTCTCAATATTCTAAACCCTTTGACCTATGTAATTCTACAATTACATTTCATTAATATTTTCTAATGGATTGCAAGGGGGGAGAAATATATTCTGAATTATGCTGCCCCCACCCCTAAACTTTTTTAAGCTGATAGTGGAACCAAGTCTAAAAAAAGACAAATGAGTAAAAAGATGACAAAACCTTTGCAGTCAGAGACATGACTTTAAAGGCACAGCATATAAATGAAATGCAAAGTGTATTATGCCCGACAGCTGAAAGTTAGTGGGAGATGGGGATGGAGGAATATTCCTCTGACAAAGGCTCACGGAAAGCAGAAAAATAATAAATTTTTCATATATTGTGCAACAACTCCTCAGGGGAGAGTGTTGGAAAAAAATGAAGTAGATATTACAAGGAAGTTGAAATGAAGAATAGTAGCAGAAGAACTAATACAACACGCCTGACGAGTTGAGAATATATATTTTTGGCAGCCAATGGTCCACAACACTATTTTAATAATCAGTGGTTGGCTGTCTGCTAGCACAAATTGATCTTTGCACATCTCACGTCCTGCACACCCTTCAGGATCTACAAAGCTATTCCCGAGGTATATTGTCTTGTGTGTCAAAGTCAATCAACTCAAAACAGAATACAAAGTTCAAGTGGAAATTCCACATTCCACCATGCCCCCAAGGCTCTTTGAAACAGCCATGTTCAAGTTTTCTCAACATTATCATGGAAGCTCAGATCTAATTTTGGGGGAGAGGGAAAGGAAACTACTTTAGAGGAAGGGAACACCAGCACACACACACAAAGTGTTAAGTTTCCAAGCCTCCTTTGGACTTCCCAGTAATGGGTATACCCAGCATGCACACATACCCTGCGTATGTATATTTATAAGTAGGATCTATTTACAATAAGCAGCCTTGAAGCTACCTGGATCTCAAGCTGTACAGGGCTTCACAGGCAAATTACCTGAACCTTGAATTATAGGCTAGTCACCAGGGCAGCTCCCACAGTAAAGTTGTGATGTTTCCAAACAGCTTGCAAGGGCAGCCGCAGGTAGAGTGAGCTGTGATAGTCCAGTCAAGAGGTGACAATGATATCAGTAAATGTCTCCAATGTGTCCCCACCCCACCATTCCAGGAAAGTCATTTGCTGAAGTTGAACAAAGGCCTTCTTGGCTTTTCTAACTAGAGCAGGGGTATCAAACTCAAGGCCCATGTGCCAGATCCAGCCTGCAGGGTGCTTAGATTTGGCCCACGGGCTGCCCTGGAAACAACAAAGGTCTGGCCCGCTGTGCCTCTGCCAGTGAAAACAGAACTCGCGGCCATCCTCCCGAGCTCCCTTTTCGCCCGCAGATGCTAGCAAAACAAATTAAAAGCAAAACAAAACAAAAGGAGAAATGTTTCCCCTTTTGCATTTGAGCAACCAAGGGACAGGAAAGGAGAAAGGGAAAAAGGAAAGATTAAAAAAAAGAAGGGGAGATGGGAAGAGAGCAAGGAAGGAAAAATAAGGAAAGAGGGGGAAGGAAGAAGAAAGGAGAATGAAGAAGGAAGGAAAAAGAAAAGAAGGAAGGAAGGAGGTTATAATGAGAGGAAGGGTCTGAGGGAAGTCTTGCCTTAGCACTTGGCCACCACAGGTGCCCCACCTGACACAAGTGACATCAAGCTCCCCCCCCCCCCCGAGATCAAACATAACCCTGATGCAGCCCTCAATGAAATCGAGTTTGATACCCCTGAACTAGAGGATGGTCTTCAGAATGTGAACTTGCTCTTTTCCACAAATACAATTCCATCAAACACCTAAGCTAAAACCATCCTGTAGTTAGCTAATTTCTGAAACGATTATATATACAGGGAAATGGGCCAACTCTGGAATTTTTAACCAAAATACCCTGAAAACTGTGCCACCTGCAGGTAAGCCAACCTTTGAAATAGAAAATTTCTATGTTTTAGTTTTCACAATTGGTTGATCCATGCGTGGCACAGTTTTCAGGGTATTTTAGTTAAAAATTTCAGTCTGTTTATCTACAAATGGGCTTATCCACAAATATATATGCATACTATTAAAAAAGTATTACTGTATTTAATCACCTGTAGTCAAGACGGGCAGCAAACAAGTCAAATAAACAATACATATACATACTTGCAAACCCAATTTTTTGGTTTATTTTGGAGCCTAAAATTCTCCATTAATCTGCAAGTCTACACAGTGTGGAATTGATAGAATTAATTCATATTTCAATCAGAAAACATATTCAAAGCAGTGGCATTTAACCTCCTCACCCCTGCCTTCTCCTAACAGAGAATTTGAAAATTGCTGCACGTTATTATGCTTCTTTGCTGAAACAGGAATATTTTTGAGGGCTAATGAAAAAGGAATATTTCACACACTCAAGAAAAATATTTTCCTCCTCAATATATAGCAGACTCCCACAGACCAATTGCTAGAAGGCCCTCTGGCAAGAAGCTTTTCTCAGCACATGATATAAAAAGACTGACTCTCTCTGTGCGTATCCTAAAACCCGGAAATTAATAAGTCCCAGCAAGTCCAGGCGAAGCCTCCTTTAAAGTCCAACAGTTTAGTGAACTATTCAGGCAGTCATAAGAAGCGGATCCAATAGGGAAAGTCTTCAAGAAACTAA